TATAATTGTGTTTATAAATTGTAAAAATGTGACATTTCACAGTTTCCCCTGTTGTTTCATAGATGGCGCTCTATACAAATTTTTAATTTAAATCATTTTAAGATAATACTAAGTATTTGTCGTAGAAAAAGTATAGTTTGCACCTCGTTTATAAACTTTTCTATACATTTATTAACTTAAGCACTTGCTCGCAAGCTCGCTCGTGCCTAAATTAAATTCGTGTATAAAATGGCGTTTATCAAACTTGATACATAATATACTATTATGACCTCAAATCTTATTTACAAAGAATGTGTTCATTGGGAGCTGTATTATGAAAGTTGCAAAAATGGCGAATGCGCCGGGTCCACAAACAATATTTTTAAGGTTAGATTATAAAATTTAAATAATTGTATAAAAAATTATTAAATTTAAAATATTATTTCTACTTTTAAGTTGGGGGTTTAATATTAAACATTGAAAACTCCAACATTTTTTACTAGCAAATTTCTTCACATTTATTAAAAATATCATACCTTATATAATATATATTATTGCCCATATTAATATGCACATTTTTTAAGAGAGTAGGTATTTTTTAATTTCCGAAAATTTTACTCAAATGAAGTTTAATATTATTGTTTAAATGTGTAATATTATATTGTTCAAAGATTGAGAAAGTTGGCCATTTCCATGAGGATGGATAAATAAAAGAACAAATCACAAAATACTCTTTTATTAGTTAAAACAACCTAAACGTTATTAACTATTTGTTAAGTATAGCTTGAATATCAGCCATATTTTTTCCTTTGGTTTCGATAACGTAAAACATGGAGAATGGAATGGCTGCCGCAACAAAACCGGAGAAAATCCAGAAGGCCGGCCCAGAACCGATGCTGTTACTAATCGAGGAGAAGATCAAAGTGATCAGGAAGCCTATGAACCAACAGAAGGAGGCCGTGAAAGTGGAGGCGGTGGATTTAACGTTCGAGGGGAACAGTTCCGCGCTCACTGACCACGGCAGGGGACCGTAACCAGAGTTGTAGGTTAGAATGTAGAATATCAGGCAAAGAATTGGTAAAAATCTGATGTTGGATACATCCTGGTCATCATCTTTAAGATAGAAGAATAGTCCTAGAGGTACTTCAGCCATAAGCATACCGACAGCGGAGGCTACAAGAAGGATTTTTCTTCCTAGAAGATCTGTGAGTAAGGGGGTCACGAAACTGGTTCCAAACTGCGTTAATCCGACCAATATAGAGCAGATTTCGGGAGCCAAATCGACCCCAGCCCCTGTGAATATGTCTTGCGCGAAGAATAGCACTGCATCGATTCCGGAAAATTGCTGAAAACCTACCAACCCCAAAGACATTATTAGAGCCTTCTTGTTGCCTTTATTCGTGAAGATTTCAAAGAAAGATCCTTCCCCTGTAGACTCCAGCATTTTTTTGATCACCTCCAGCTCATCGGCTGACTCTCCACCTCTCAGTTTATCCAGAGATTCTCTGGCGGCTTGATATTCGCCTTTACCCAATAAATAATGCGGAGTTTCAGGTGCAAAAATGAAGAACAAAGGCAAAAAAATGCAAGGGAATATAGTAAGAAGCAAATTGAAGTACATCCAGGACATATAAGGCCCAACAGCGTACGAGAAGAATATTCCGAAGCATATAAAGCAATTCATCGAAGCTCCAAGCACTCCTCGGTTGGCATCTGTGGCAATTTCGCTAAGATACATAGGCAACACTGTAAAAACTCCTCCCACCCCCAGTCCAACAACCAATCTAGCTAATAAAAAGCAGGTCATATTGGCGCTGAACGCTAAGAGACCATAGCAGAGTATAAATGGGGGTGCCAGGATCAATATGGACCATTTCCTTCCAATTTTGTTGACCAGGAAACCAAAGATTATAGGGCCAAATATGGCACCCAATGACATTAGGGCTCCCAACCATGTTATTTCAGCGGAATCTTTGCTGTACACTTTATCCAAAGGGGTTTCATCGGCATTTTCAAGTTTGGATAATTCTGGAGAAGTCCATGTTAGAGCTGTACCGGCCACAAAACCGATCAAATTACCTACAAATGTTAAACATAATTAGAAATAGGACTTGTTCCAATGGTATTAATGAAGACTTATGTACAGGGGACTATATAATTACAGTTTGATTGATGTTTGTACTTAGAGTGGCTAACTCTGCTCAATAGTTGGCTACACGGGCTATAACTTTAAAAGAAGTTGCCATTACTAAACATTTGACCAACTATTAATAAATATACCGTTGGGTATTGATTGTTAGAATGAATCCTAATTATTAATGTTTGATATCACTATAGGTTAATATTCAACTTTTGAAAATACACACGAAAACGTTAGGACATAAACTCAGTTTTCGGTGATATAATTTAGTGGTGTATTTCGTTTTTTAGGTTGGCTCATTTTCTCAGGACATTTTAGATTCAAGTTTGGGTACATATACAGAAATTTCCTTTTGAAATGTCTTTATTTATTATTATAATCATCAATACTTTTGCTCAAAAAACTTGAATCCGTAGGTGTACGGGGTCCACCGCTTAAGTGGGTCTCCTCTTATTTATCCGACAGAACTCAGATTGTTTTTTTAAAAAATGCACAATCAAGGTGTGAAAAAGTCTTACTTGGGGTTCCACAGGGGTCAATTCTGGGTCCTTTGTTTTTTGTTATGTTTATTAATGACATATCTGTCTTATTTAATGAACATGCTAAATTTGTATTGTATGCTGATGATACAAATGTTTTGCTTAGGGATAAAGAAGTGAAAAATCTTTCCACAAACTCTTCCTTGGTGTCAAATCAGTTTAGTAAATGGTGTCAACAAAATGGATTACTTTTAAATGTTAATAAAACAAACTTTATGCAATTTTTTCCAAAAAATGCAAGGCTTGATTCTAGCCTATACATAAACATTAATAGTTCATCAATTCCAGCCTGCGATTCAGTAAAATTCTTGGGGATAACATTGGATCCAAAATTGACTTGGGAACCACATATAAATTCTTTATGTAAGAGATTAAGCTCCTTATGTTTTTTAATAAGGTCTCTTAGAGACACAGTGTCCTTTCCTGTATTGAGATTAATGTATTTTGGCGTAATTCAATCTGTATTGTCATATGGTATTATTTTTTGGGGTGTTTCAGCTCATTTTGAAAGAGTATTTTTATTACAAAAAAAACTTATTAGATGTCTAGATAGTAAAAGTCCATCATATTCGTGTAAACCGTTATTTAAAAAATATTCATTTTTAACACTACCCTGTTTATTTATTTACAATTTAATTATATACATTGAAGAAAATAAAGGTTTATTTATACAAACAAAGGATATGCATAGTTATGGTACAAGAGGTAATAAAAACCTATATTTGCCTTATTCCAGATTGTCAGTCTCTCAAGCCTTTGCTTATCAGGGAATAAAATGTCATAATCATGTGTCAAATGTTATTTTATCTTGTAAAAATATTAATATTTTAAAGAAAAAATTACACACTATTTTTTTAAATAAAATGTACTATTCTGTTGAAGAATTTTTTAAGGATTCTTTTTAATTTTATCATTAAATTTTATTCTTGTATATGTTATAGTATTTAATATTAAGTGTCATTATTTTTACTTATTTTTGTGTGACTAGTCATATAGGCAAAATTTATTTTGTAATTTTGTTTTACTGATGAATAAATTATTATTATTATTATTATTATTATTATTATTATTATTATTATTACTCAACTCTAGCAATGATGACCGTTCATTTTTTGGCGTTCATTTAGGTCACTGAGTGACCTTTAAAATACACATTGACAAGTTGTGGCTTAATGGCGTTTTAGTCACGGGCTAAAGTTAGCAACAGGTTTTTAACCACGGGCTGAAGTTAGCTTTAAGTTAGTTGACAGTTGTCAAATGTCAACAATCGTTAGAATAAAGTGCCCTTCTTGTAAAATAATACTAAATAACGTAGGTTTATATGAACATTGTACTGACCTTTTGATTTCGCCGGCAGTAAACTAGATATAACTTTAATTCGGGCTCGGACTCCACCGTGAAGTGCTCATAAAACATTTTCTTTACTTTCACTGTGAAAAACTGTTGTTAATCAATTTTTAAGAAATACATTTCGATTTATAGCACATACAAATTTGACATTTGACAGATTCCCCTATTGTTTTGTAGATGTCGCTCTATACAAATATTACATTTAAATTATTTTAGATAATAATAAGTATTTGTCGTAGAAAAAGTATAGTATGCAACTTGTTTACTGCTTGGTTGCTGCTCAGCACAGTAGCGCAGTAGTGTATTTAATGATAATATTAATACTAAAAATAAAATTTACCAATTGAAGCTGCAACGTGGGTAAAACTCATTGTGGCAAACAGTAAAATCCAATTATACAACTAAAAAAAACTAGTTACTACATTAGTTGTTATTATTATTATTATTATTGAATTAAAGATGAACAGCAATAACCAACCAGCGACAACTAACTGTCAATTATTTTATAAGAGTTTAAACTTTTATTATCTTTTATCAAGTACTTATTTTTTTGTGGGACCAATCGTGCTTTATATTTCGGGTTAACAGAGATAAAAAGTAAAAATTAATTACACAGACTTTTGTTGTTATAGAATATTATGTTATTAGACTTCATGTTACTGTTCTAATTCAATTAAGAAAAATAAATTTCCATATCCTCAAGCACAAACAATGGTTTTTCCAATTGTATATTTTGTTGGTTTCTAAATTCAAATCAAATTTTAGGGTTATATTCATACTAATAATATGTATTAGACAAGTACTTTAAATCGTGTAATTTTTTTCAATTGTTTTCTTTATCTTTATTTTTGATAAAACACAACACTGTTTATAATATCTATATATATATATATATAACAGAAGTTTTCAAAGGTATAAATATTTTTATAAAGGTGAAATATTACGACACGAGCCGAAGTCTGCAAATAGAGTTCATAAATAAAACAACAAATCACAAAACATTCTTTTATTTCAAAAAAACCTAAACATAATCAATAAATAAAACAAAAAATATCATTTAATAATAATTATTATCTATTTGTTAAGTATAGCTTGAATATCAGCCACATTTTTTCCTTTGGTTTCGATAACGTAAAACATGGAGAACGGAATGGCGCCCGCAGCAAAACCGGCGAAAATCCAGAAGGCCGGTCCAGAACCGATGTTTTTGCTAATCGAGGGGAAGAACAAAGTGATCAGGAAGCCTAGGAACCAACAGAAGGAGGCCGTGAAAGTCGAGGCGATGGATTTAACGTTCGAGGGGAACAGTTCCGCGCTCACTGACCACGGCAGAGGACCGTAACCGGAGTTGTAGGTTATAATGTAGAATATCAGGCATAAAATTGGTAGAAAGCTGATGCTGGCTACATTCTGGCCATCATCTTTAAGATAGAAGAACAGTCCCAGAGGTACTTCAGCTATAACCATACCGACAGCGGAGGCCACAAGAAGGATTTTTCTTCCTAGGCGATCTGAGAGTAAGGGTGTCACAAAACTGGTTCCAAACTGCGTTAATCCGACGAATATAGAGCAGATTTCGGGAGCCAAATCGACACCAGCTCCTGTGAATATGTCTTGCGCGAAGAATAGCACTGCGTTGATTCCGGAAAATTGTTGAAAACCTACCAACCCCAAAGACATTATAAGAGCCGTCTTGTTGCCTTTATTCGTGAAGATTTCAAAGAAAGATCCTTCCCCTGTAGACTCCAGCATTTTTTTGATCACCTGCAGCTCATCGGCTGACTCTCCGCCTCTCAGTTTGTCCAGAGATTCTCTGGCCGCTTGATATTCGCCTTTACCCAATAAATAATGCGGAGTTTCGGGTGCAAAAATGAAGAACAAAGGCAAAAAAATGCAAGGGAATATAGTAAGAAGCAAATTGAAGTACATCCAGGACATATAAGGCCCAACAGCGTACGAGAAGAATATTCCGAAGCATATAAAGCAATTCATCGAAGCTCCAAGGACTCCTCGGTTGGCATCGGTGGCAATTTCGCTAAGATACATAGGCAACACTGTAAAAACTCCTCCCACCCCCAGTCCAACAACCAATCTAGCTAATAAAAAGCAGGTCATATTGGCGCTGAACGCTAAGAGACCATAGCAGAGTATAAATGGGGGTGCCAGGATCAATATGGACCATTTCCTTCCGATTTTGTTGGCGAGGAAACCAAAGATTATAGGGCCAAATATGGCACCCAAGGGCATTATGGCACCCAACCATGTTATTTCAGAGGAGTCTTTGCTGTACACTTGATCCAAAGGGGTTTCATCGGCATTTTCAAGTTTGGATAATTCTGGAGACGTCCATGTTAGAGCTGTACCGCCCACAAAACCGATCAAATTACCTACAAATGTTAAACATAATTAGAAATTGGACTTTTTCCAATGGTTTTAATGAAGAATTATACAGGGAGACTATATAAATACAGTTTGATTAATGTTTGTACTTATAGTGGATAACTCTGCTCATTAGTTGGCTACAGGGGCTATAACTTTGAAAGAAGTTGCCATTACCAAACATTAGACCAACTATTAATATACCGTTGGGTATTGATTGTTTAAAGATGAATCCTAATTATTTATGTTTGATATTCAAACTTCCAGTTCGTATAATTTAGTTGTTTATTTCGTTTTACTGGGTTAGCTCATTTTCTCAAGATATTTCAGATTTAAGTTTGTTCACTACCTATTACTTATTTTTAGGAAAATAACACCAAAATCTCTTTTTTATTATTTATTCATTAATAGTCAATTAAGAAAATTATGAACGTATCTTTAGGCGAATACTATTAAAATTTTTTAATTTTTTTTATCGATTTTTGCATTTTTTGAAGTTTTTTTTAATGTCTGTCAATTTTAAGCGGTGTATTTCCTATCTTATCTTGTGCATTTTGATGGTTATCGTTTAACTAGATTAAATTAATTAATTATTTATTTGTGTACAAAGTCTTATGTTTTAATGTAATATATTAAAATGCTGAATTCCTTTTGACATACTTAAGTTGTAACAAAGAATATTTAAAAAATATTTTTCCAAAGATAAAGAAAAAATATGCATTAAATTTTTTTTATATTTTTTGTGATACGCCCCTGGGGATACACTTCTATTCTGTGGGTACTTGGCTCCACACATCAATGTCCCACCACGTGACTTTGATAGAAATAATTAAGGGTAATTTTCTGTCAGTGTCAAGCTAATTTCATTTTATTTTCTAAAAATAATACAATATAATATATAGGTACATATTATGTATATTGTGTGTACCACATGCGTAGAGGACACATCTACAACTTTTTGTATTTGAAGGAATAGTTGCCGTTTAGCATAGTTATGCTAAATTATGAGTTTGGTCTGTGGTTTGGGCACAATCCACACAACAAGGTCTGTTCTATCTCATGCTAAAAATACTAAAAATCACTGCAACACTGCACAGTTTAACGGCGGCCATTTTTGTTGTTTACAATTCTTGTGCTTTGGGTTTGTGCTGTTTAATAATTGTTTTAAACGTTGTGTTTCTTACAGAGGCACTTGTAAGCCTCAAATAAGGCCTTTAAGTGCTAAGGACAACCATTTTACTCCTCTATTATAATAAATATACCTTATTCTATCAGGGTTGTCAAATGACAATTTGAAGGTTAATTTGTGGGTTATAATTTAACCTTAAAATTGACATTTGACAGTTTTATGACAGCCCTGATAGAATAAAGTTTATTTTTTACAATAGAGGAGTAAAATGGTTGTTCTGAGCACTTTAAGGACTCTTTTAAGGCTTACTATGAGAAACACAACGTTTAAAACGATTATTAATCTGTATAAACAGAGCACAAACCCAAAGCACAAAAATTGTAAACAGCAAAAATGGCCGCCGTTAAACTGTGCAGTGATTTTTTGTATTTTTAGATAGAACAGACCTTGTGTGGATTGTGAGTTTGGGTATCCTAAATTTACTGGATTTTTAGTAAGCATTCCCAAAACTGTTTTTTCCTTGTACGTGTCACCCTACCAAGCAAGATACTTACAGTGATTATTATAATAATTATAATTATTAGCTTAGCTGCTGGTGTTTATGCGTAAAAATTGCTTATTTTAATAATATTATTGTTTTTAATTATAGTTGATCCGATATATTTTTTATCCAATTAAGTATATGTTACTTAGGTGTTTATTACAAGTTTTTATAATTAAGTATAGTGATAACCCATCTTTTGAGAGGCTTATTAGTTAATTACATATTTTTACAAAGTTTATTTCCATAAGGGCAGTTAATATAAGTATTTTTATCTACTCCTACATTGACTTTATGGCATTTTAGTCACAGGCTAGTTAGCTTTATTATAAATTGCGAAAAATGTCAAATATTTATGAAGTAAAATTGGCTTTAAATTCTTATTTTTATTCGTCGTAGATAAAGTATAGTATGCAACTCGTTTTATAAACTTCTCTAGACACTCGTTTTTATTAAACACTCGCTCGCAAGTATCGCTCTTGCCTAATAAAACTCGTAACTAAAATGACGTTTATAAAACTTGATAATAATATACTATAAAACAATAATTTGGTATTTATTATACTCAAAATAAACGCCATTTTAGTATGCCCTATTACTTTTGTAATTCTGCAGCACATTAACTGAAAATATTGTTGACTTTTAAGGGTGAAAAATTTACCCTGCAAGTTTTGAACATTTGCTGCTTTGCATATTTTCAACACCTTTTGCTTGACTTTTGACCTTAATTTTGCCTCACCCTGTATTTAATGTTAATGTTAATGTTAATATTAATAACTAAAAATAAAATTTACCAATTGAAGCTGCAACGTGGGTAAAACTCATTATGGCAAACAGTAAAATACAATTGTATAACTAAAAAACTAATTATTCCATTAGTTATTATTATTATGGAATTAACAGATTAACAATAACTAACCAGCGACAACTGACTGTCAATTATTTTATACGAGTTTAAACTTTTATTATCTTTTATCAAGCACTTATTTTTTGCGGACCAATCGTGCTTTAGGATTTGGGTTACCGCAGATAAAAGTAAAAATCAAATAAATTTTTGTTGTTGTTATTATTGCCTACATTTTATTGGTCAAATTTAGAGTATATATTATTGTTACTACAAATCTTGCGTTTTAATTCAATTAAGAAAAATAATGTTTTTTGTAGTTGCATATTTTGTTTGTTTTCTGAATTGAAATCAAATTTTAGGGTTATCAAAGTTGCAGTAAAAATAAACAAATAAATTTAATTGAATTTTTTCATTCTTTTTGTATTTCTACTAATAAAATGTTAGGCAAGCACTTTAAAACGTGTTAACTTTTTTCAATTATTTCCTTTATCTTTATTTTTGCCAAAACACAAAATTTTTCATGAAATATATATAACAGGAATTTTCAATTATATAAATATTTTTATAAAGGTTCAAAGTAAATAAATAGGTACTTCAGTTATTCTAATAATTATTTATAAAGCACGTGTTAATTGTGCAATTTGATATTTTTTCTCCAAGGGTGAGTCATTTAACATGAAACTAGAAAATATCTCAGTTGGTATTAATTAATTAATCAGTACTAAAATTGGTCCTCATACTCTCCTTATAGGGGGAACAGGGGGTAACTTTAAAATTTCCAATGAAACACCCTATTTATTGCAGATTCGGATCACTCGACTAAAAATAGGTAGATTTTGTCAAAAACATTTTTTTCATATTTGTAATGAAAAAAAATCTATTTTTCTTCTGTATAAGATTCTCCATTTTTTTTTATGAAATACTTGGCTTTATTTTTTAAATTTATTTATTTATTTTTTAAATTTTTATTAAAGTAGGTGCTCAAAATGGTGGCCTTAGACTTCAATGCATTTATTAATTCGCATTTCGTTTTAATATTCTGCTAACACTGCTTTGGGATACCTAAAAAATGTATGTATATATTTATTTTCAACAACAAACCTATACATATACATATAATTATAAAAAATTAAATATATTTAAAAAATATATAATATATATATTTAATAAAAATAAATGTATATCAGAAAAATGATGTACAGGGTGATCCCCTATAATGTCGCCCCCCTTTAACTTTTTTATTTTAAGTGTCCCAAAAAATTTAAAAGTGTGGTTATGTAGGAACTAAAAAATACTTTTTTTCTACGTATAAAAATAAATTCATATATAGGGTGATCCATTGAAAAAAAATAAGCTTTATGTTTTTCTCTGTATACTGATCAATTTTAAAATTTTCTTTATACGTAGAAAAAAAGTATTTTTTAGTTCCTACATAACCACACTTTTAAATTTTTTGGGACACTTAAAATAAAAAAGTTAAAGAGGGGCGACATTATAGGGGATCACCCTGTATGTATATTTCAGCATTTATTAATGTCACAAACGGCGCCCAATACAATGATCAAATAATCATTTTTGTAAATTTCTAAAATCAAAAGATTTTTAAAAGGTAAAGTTTGAATTAATAAATTCATTCTTGGTAATTTATAGCAACAAATCAAGAATGTTTAATTTGAAATAATCTAAATTAAACATAACACTAAAAAATATTTAAAACAACAAAAACTACAAAAATAAAACAACAAAAAATTATTTTAGGACAGAAACCTAAATTTAAATTATTAGAGAAGTTACTGGAAATTTGATTAAAAAAAATGACAGCATATATGATGGAATTTAATTACAGTGAATTGGAATTGGAATTTTACTGTGAAAAGATAAATTGGTCATGGGCGTACCTATTTTTTTTAAACGAGAAATGCACACTCCTGTAGTTACGCCACTGCTTGTAATATCAAAACGAATTTAATCCATAAGTATGGTATCAAAAAAAAATAATATTTACTAAATTTCACTAAAATATTTTTTTCCACTCCCACCTTTAAAAGGACCATTATCGTACATGTTTCCATGAGTGACCTTTTAAATACACATTGACTAGTTGTGGCTTTAAGGCGTTTTAGTCACGGGCTGAAGTTAGTTTTAAGTTAGTTGACAGTTGTCCAATGTCATACAATCGTTAAAATAAAGTGCCTCTCTTGTAAAATAAAACTAAATGTGAAAATTATTTTATTATCTCAATACAAAAATACAAAATTATTAAATAGTTTCTCAACGCCAATATTTGAAAAGTTTATATAAACATTGTACTGACATTTTAATTTCGCCGGCAGTAAACTATAACTTAAATTCGGGCACGGACTCCACTGTAAAGTGCTCATAATACATTTTCTTTACTTCACTATGAAAAACTGTCCATTTTCAAGAAATAAATTTCGATTTATAACATTTATAATCTGTGTTTATAAAAATTTGACATTTGACGGTGACACACAGATTCCCCTATTGTTTCATAGATGGCGCTCTATAAAAATATTTGATTTAAATCATTTTAAGATAATAAGTATTTGTCGTAGAAAAAGTATAGTATTCATCTCGTTTACAAACTTTTCTTTACACTCCTGCCTAAATGATACATAATATACTATTACACAATATAAGATTTTTATCATGTAGATACCTACCTAACTTTTAAAATGTAATTCATATAAGCGGTAAAATTTGCATTTTTGTACTGAAATCAAGAAATAAATAATTTTGAAAATATTTTATTTCAATTTTCTAGTTAACATATTTCTTAAATTTTTAAGTAATCACAGTAAAAATTACACCTACGAATTAAAATTTTGGTATTAAAATTAAAAATTTAAAAATTAAACACGATTTATAATAAATTACTGTTTATTATTTACATACAAATCAAATACAGTTAATCTTACATAAAATTGTACGTAATGCAAAAATTTGTTCATAGTGCTTAAAACGCACCTTCTACAATCTAAAAAAATCTTACAAACTTAACAATACAACAATAAATAATCAATTATTATTAATTAAAATAGGAATAAAGTATCACGTGACTTTAGTCATAAGGAATTTGTTAATTTTCTTAGTAAACATTTTATTTAATCAATAAATTACGCTTTTGTATTTCCGCCAAGAATGTCCAAAATTTCTTGTACGCTCTTTCCAGACGTCTCTGGCACGCACTTCCATACGAAACCAGCTGCAAAGAGACAGCAAGCTGCAAAAAATCCGAAGGAACCTCCAGTTCCGATTAACTCGGTCACCACGTTGAAATACTTGGTGATCAGGAAGCCCAGCAACCAGCAGCCTGAAGCTGTGACAGTCGAAGCTGCAGCCTTAATTTCTCCTGGGAACAACTCGCCCATCACAGCCCATGGCAATGGTCCGAAACCAAGACAGTAGGCGATGATGTAGAGAACCAAACTGGCAACTGGTAGCCAGGATAAGTTGGAGACGTCGTTTCCGCCATCTTTGACGTAGAAAAAGTATCCCAGAGCTCCCTGAGAGATCGCCATACCAACTGCAGAGAGCAAGAGTAGGAATCGTTTGCCTTTTCTCTCGACCAACATTGGGGTTACACCACTGGCGATTACTTGTACTATTCCGATCAAAATGGTGCAGATTTCCGGAGCGAGAGACACGCCAGCGTTTGTGAAGATGTCTTGAGCGTAGAATAGGACGATGTTGATACCGGAGAATTGTTGCAGGGCAACCAAGCTCACTGAAATCACTAGGGCCATGGTTAGACTTCTTTCCTTGAAAATGTCGAAGAATGATTTTTTGTTGGTAGTGGCATCGTCCACAGCCAGTTTGATCTCCTCGATTTCTTTCTGGACGCTGTCTCTTGATTTCGATCTCAGTTTCACCAAGGAATCAATGGCGGCTTCGCAGTTTCCAGAAAGCACCAAAAAGTAGGGACTTTCCGGGATACGCATGAAGAAATATATGAGGAAAACGACTGGAATTCCTAAACAGATGTAGTTGAAAGTTGCAAAGGGTAGATATGGCCCCAAAGCGTAGGAAAACAGTAAACCAACCACAATAAAAAGTTGCATGAAGGAGCCCAACTGCCCTCTAGTTTCATTATCAGAAATTTCACCGATGTACATCGGCAGCACAGTAAAAATACATCCAACAGCCAAACCAGCCAAAAACCTTGACAAATAATACATATTGACGCTTCCACCCAACGCTCCTAGTAAAAAAGTGGCCAAAAAAGGCGTTGTTCCAACCAACAATGTCTTTTTTCTTCCCAGAGAGTCGGCCACCATTCCAGCTGCAAAGGGGCCGAGCATAGCCCCCAGGGGCAAAAACGAACCGATCCATCCTTCTTGGGACGGGTTGATGGGTTGGCCCAATGGATTTTCAGTGCCGTTTGATTTTAGGATGGGGATTTCCGGAGACGTCCAACCAAACGCTTGCCCACAAGTGAAAGCGGCTAAATTTGCTGTAAAAAAATAAAAAATTTAACCCTCAAGGTAAAGCAAATATTATATTCGTATTGCTACATTAAGGAAGTATCCATAACGTATAAGGCGGAAATTTATGAAACAACTTTATAAGTAAAAAACATGGTTGCTTAAGTTAACTGTATACGTAGTAATAAAAAACGAATATTCTTTGATTAAATTTATTATTTCTAAATAGTAGAGCATAATTCAAGGTCAGTTGACTTACATCCTTTTTGCTCAAGTGACAAATTAACGTTGATAAGACTATCTTGTCGCCTAACCTATTTTAATAAAGAAAAAACAAGTAGTCGAGCAATTGACACAATTATTTCAAGAAAAAAAAAATTGTCTTGTGATTACACTTATCAATAAAAAGTCTTATAGTTGAAATTGAAGACGCTTAACGTAAATTTACAGTTATGAAACAGTCAATTTTTAGGTTGTTTTTTTCCACTGTTTGAAGGAGTCTGCCTAAATGATAAATTTTTAATTTGTTTATAAATTTAAAACTTTGACCTACGATATCATTTAAATAGATAATTTAAAGAAAAACTTAAAGGAGGTAGGGCATAACATTTACTACCAAAATTTATTTGTATACGAGGTGTGTTTAGAAAATATCGGGAATTTTCGTTTTTTGAAACAAATATTTATTTATTCGTCTACATTAAATATTATGCACATGTGCCAGCTCTTCTTCCAATATCTTTTAAAACTCGATCTTTGGGATAGCCTTTAGTTCTTTCAGCGATGCGCTTTTAATGTCATCTATGCTTGCAAAACGACGGCCCTTTAAGGTTCTCTTTATTTTTGGGAATAGGAAAAAGTCAGACAGAGGCATGTCTGGCGAATATGGAGGCTGGGGCATCATTACAGTATTGTTTGTGGCCAAAAATTTTGTTCAAAATTTAACAATTTTAGAACAAATTTTGCTGCCACGCGTTTCATACTCAAAACATTTGAAAAAATTTCATGGGATGAGCCTATCGATATACCAACATCATCAGCGACTTCTCTGATGGTTTATAACCATTCTTCCACTTTTTCCATGTTTTTATCGGTTGTTAATGTGCTTGTGCGTTCGGGGCGTTCGTCATCTTCAACGTCTTCACGGCCATCTTGGAAACTCTTATACCACTTGTAAACTCTTGTTTTACTTATAGCAGACTCACTATAGGCCTTTGTTAACATTTCACAGAATTTATTTCACTTTTTAAGCAAAATTGGATACAAATTCTTTGATCCATTTCTTTCGAACGAACGAAAATCGCCGAGGTCATAAAACACGTCTAACCTTAGCGGCTGCCACGTACAAAGTAAACAATGAAAACAGCTAAATTTTTTATCATACTTCGGGGGCATGTATACCTACATAATAAAGAAAATTTTATGACAACCGGACCCTCCGAACCCGCGAAATTTAACAATTCCCGTTATTTTCTGAAGACACCTCGTAGGTATTATAACATGTCTATTAAGAAACAGAATTAAGTCAAAAAACTACATAAAAAATGTTTTTTACAAAATTGTTTTTAAACTGTAATCAAATAACTTTTAAATTCCATTTTAAAACACTTCCCTGTATATAATAATAAAATCAATTGGATAATAAGAAGAAAAAAACTAAATGATATTTTTATGATATTAAATGTTGTAAGTAAATAATTACTTTGTATAAGCCATGGCGCGCCAATAAGTATAATATACTTAGTATATTAAATTTCAAAACAAATATAAATTTACAAAACCATTTTTTATCTATAAAGTATAATATTACTTTCAAAATGGTCAAAGAGTAATTTTTAATTTAATCCTTAAATTCTTTGGGTTTAATGTCGGGAATTTCTTGCCAAATAAAATAATAATAATTAATTTACAATTACATTTTATAATAAATAGGCGGAAATGTTGGTCTTTAATTTATTTGGGCTTGTCAACAAAACCCCTATCGCTGACGATGTCAAATTTGAAATAAAAACAAAATACCGCACTATTTGTTTTGAATATTAATTAATGAACACAAAACAAAAAACGGTAATAATAATTCAAAACGCATTCATTACATGTTGTATACCAATAGGAAGTTAACCATGACATTGACACAGGCATAGACCAACATTTTACATAATACGAATTTTTTAATAATTGTTTCCCATCATTACAGACATTTTTCCCATTATTATTGTGTAAAAACATTTTTATACAATATTCGCATACTGGGTGATCCAAATTATTAGACCAATTACCGTCACAGTAGAAATTATCCAAAAATGTTTTTTTACCACCAAAAACAAAATAAAAATAAATTTTATGAATAGAATAACTAAGAAAAAAGACATTTTGCAAATGCGTAAGATTATCAAATTTGTTTAATTTTTGAATTAAATTTTAATAATATTGCAACATTTTCCTCATAATCTTATCCAAATTTGTGACGTAGACTTTTGATAAGAATTCTATTAATTAATAATTATCTTTGGACATTTTAAAAATTAAATATTAAAACTACACCAAAATTATGGCAGAAAAAATAAAAATTAATTTCATTTGAGGAGCCAAGAAGGTAAATTAAACGAGGCGCATTCACCATTTTTGCAAAAAAAGATCAAAATTTTATACAATCAGAAAATAACGGGAATTGTTAAATTTCGCGGGTTCGGAGGGTCCGGTTGTCATAAAATTTTCTTTATTATGTTGGTATACATGCCCCCGAAGTATGATAAAAACTTTAGCTGTTTTCATTGTTTACTTTGTCTGTGTCAGCCGCTAAGTTTAGACGTGTTTTATGAGCTCGGCGATTTTTCGTTCGTTAAAAGAAATGAATGAAAGAATTTGTATCCAATTTTGCTTAAAAAATTAAATAAATTCTGTGAAATGTTAACAAAGGCCTATAGTGAGTCTGCTATAAGTAAAACAAGAGTTTACAAGTGGTATAAGAGTTTCCAAGATGGCCGTGAATACGTTGAAGATGACGAACGCCCCGAACGCACAAGCACATTAACAACCGATAAAAACATGGAAAAAGTGGAAGAATGGTTATAAACCATCAGAGAAGTCGATGATGTTGGTATATCGATTTGCTCATCCCATGCAATTTCGAATGTTTTGGGTATGAAACGCGTGGCAGCAAAATTTGTTCTAAAATTGTTAAATTTTGAACAAAATTTTTGGCCAAAAACAATACTGTAATGATGCCCCAGCCTCCATATTCGCCAGACATGCCTCTGCCTGACTTTTTCCTATTCCCAAAAATAAAGAGAACCTTAAAATGAAGAGCTGGCACATGTGCATAATGTCCAATGGGGACTATTTTAAAGGCGACAATATTAATGTAGACGAATAAATAAATATTTTTTCAAAAAACTAAAATTCCCGATATTTTCTGAACACACCTTGTATTCTATTATCGACTAGTTATATTAAAAATAGAAAATGTTGCATTTAATAATTTAATAAAACAATAAATCATAACTTTATTTGATTAAAATAGTAAGTAAGTGTTTAATAATACTTTTATTATCAATCAAAAAATTATAAAATTTTGATTGATAATTGCTTATCTTATCATAATTTTGTAACCGTAACATGTTTTAGTGTTTAGTATCTATTTACATAATAATCGTTATAAAGACAGATGTTTTTTGAAACTAAATGTGCTTTTGTTAAAAAAAATTAAATTTTAATTAGTTTCCACTTCAAATTTTAATATGTGATATAAAAGTACTAAAATTTGAATAATTTATCTATTATATAGTTTTTAAATGCCAGCCAAACTTATATATATATATAGCGAAAAACTTCAAAATTTAAAATATTACCTAAAGAAATGCAAGATTAACACTTTTTATATTTTAAATTTTACAATGTAAAATGTAGTCAAATTTGAGTATGTTGTATAGAAAATATTAAAAAATAATATACTCAAGTTTGAAAAATTTATATTGTAATTTTTTTAAATGCAAAACATAACCAAAACTTCAAAATTACTTACAAAAACACACTTATGTATATGCACATGTATACGGCACGAAAACAAAAACATGTTAACTAACCTGCACATGCTGCTAGATAGAGGAACTTTTTGTCACCCGGCTGGGAGTTGTGGTTCTGTTGACTGACCATCGTGTTTTGCGACAAAATCGTAACACCGTTGGATTCGGTGTTAAATCTGACAGCGTCTACTTCTGCTCCGTTCTCATTGGTCGCGACCGGTCCATACTCGTATTCCTTTTTTTCAGACATTTTCAACTGTTTTTTGAAAACTGTTTCTCAACCCCGATGCGATGTTGTTTATGCGGCGGGTTGAACGGGAATGATCAAAATTTATTTTATTATCAAATCCTCCGGTTTTTTAAGTGCCACACTATCGTTTGTTTGACTTGAGTCTGATTATTATTAGTGTAAATATAGTAATTATAGATAAATTATTTAACATTTGATTTTGTTTATGCGCGATTTTAATTGGCGAGAATCAAAGACTTCACACTTAACTTGGTTATCATTATTTTATAAATAAACATTTCAGGTTGTTTAAATTTTAGATACCCTTCTTTTTTATTAATATATTACAATAATTTACAGAAAAAAATGCAGACGAATTTTAGGCGGTTTAAAAAATGTTCATCATAGAAACATATACGAGGTGTGTTCAGAAAATAACGGGAATTGTTAAATTTCGCGGGTTCGGAGGGTCAGGTTGTGATAAAATTTACTTTATTATGTTGGTATACATGCCCCCGAAGTATGATAAAAAGTTTAGCTATTTTCATGGTTTACTTTGTCTGTGGCAGCCGCTAAGGTTAGACGTGTTTTATGAGCTAGGCGATTTTTCGTTCGTTAAAAGAAATGGATCAAAGAATTTGTATCCAATTTTGCTTAAAAAATGAAATAAATTCTGTGAAATGTTAACAAAGGCCTATAGTGAGTCTGCTATAAGTAAAACAAGAGTTTACAAGTGGTATAAGAGTTTCCAAGATGGCCGTGAAGACGTTGAAGATGACGAACGCCCCGAACGCACAAGCACATTAACAACCGATAAAAACATGGAAAAAGTGGAAAAAATGGTTATAAACCATCAAAGAAGTCGCTGATGATGTTGGTCAATCGATTGGCTCTTCCCATAAAATTTTTTCGAATGTTTGGGGTGTGAAACGCGTGGCAGCAAAATTTGTTCTAAAATTGTTAAATTTTGAACAAAAATTTTGGCCAAAAACAATACTGTAATGATGCCCCAGCCTCCATATTCGCCAGACATGCCTCTGTCTGACTTTTTCCTATTCCCAAAAATAAAGAGAACCTTAAAGGGCCGTCGTTTTGCAAGCATAGATGACATTAAAAGCGCATCGCTGAAAGAACTAAAGGCTATCCCAAAGATCGAGTTTTAGAAGTGTTTCGAGTATTGGAAGAAGAGCTGGCACATGTGCATAATATCCAATGGGGACTATTTTGAAGGCGACAACATTAATGTAGACGAATAAATAAATATTTGTTTCAAAAAACGAAAATTCCCGATATTTTCTGAACACACCTCGTATTATCTATGTTGATCCATCTGCTTTAGAGCGCGCGGAATTGTGCCATTGGCATTTACCTTGTCCTTTTGCGTATAGACCTAACATGCAAAATATATTTATAGATATATTTAGATACATAATTTGAACTCAAAAAAATAAGAAGTAAGCGAGAAAATTTTAGATTATTTATGAATAAAATATTTCATAATAAAAACCGTGATTTTATTTTATCACCATTAAATGTTTTGGGTGCATTTAATCAAATATATGACGCCAGTTAAATAACGTAAAACACTCGAGTTTGTTTGAGTTATTCAAAAAAATATTATTAAGATAGATAATAATAATAAGTGAGTGGGTATCGCAAATTATATGATTTATTAGTTAAATCACAATATTTTAATTGATTGCCCAATATCAGAACAATTATTCCTCAAGGAAAATTTCCAAAAATTTGTTTCGTACCAATATTTTAAAATCTGGCAACAATGTGCGAGAAAAGCAACATTTAGGTACAGCCTTAGACAATGAAAGACGAGGACGCTTAAAATGTTGAAAAGTGTGAACCAAACTGTCATCCAATTATAATAATTGATTTATCACCTTATAAAGCTATCTTTGAGTTTTCATTAATAATTTCTACCTCTCCAAGTCTATTTTAGTCTCTTTCTTGTCACAACCAAATCCAGAACAAACCACCATTGTATTTTAATATTAAAACCGACGATTTTAATTTTTGATTTAAGCAAAATCACACAAAGCATTTAATAGTATTTAGGATTTTAGTATACATTATATATTAGGGCTGTCATCATACTGTCAAATGTAACTTTTATGAATAATTTACCATAACACACAAATTAAAATTGAAATTTGACAGTTTAATGACAGCCATGATAGAATAAGGTTTATTTTATACAAAAGGAGTAAAATGGTTGCCCTTAGCACTTTAAGGCCTCTTCTAAGGCTTACAAGTGCCTCTGTAAGAGACAAAACGTTTAAAACAATTATAATTCTGTACTCTATAAAAATAAAATAGTCAAAAATGACTAATTTAACAGTTATTAGTAGCTGCTTTTTCACTTGTACCATGCATAACCATGGAATACCATGGTATCCCAAAATTTAACAGCCAATTCTTATGTAAAATTGTCCCCTGACAAAAATTATGAAAGTAAATCAGTTTTTGAGATATAGTCAATTCCATATTAAATAGAAAATTGACTATATTTCAAAAACTGTTCTACTTTTTTAACTTTTGACTACATTTTCGGAAACAGGGGTCAATTTTACATAAGAATTGGATGTTAAATTTTTGGATACCATGGTATTCCATGGTTAACCATGGTACAAGTGAAAAAGCAGCCACTAATAACTATTAAATTAGTCATTTTTAGAGAGACCCTAGAAAAGTTAACTTTTTTAATGAAAACATACGATATATTCAATACCAATGGCATTTTTTGTGATTGTGATTGTTAAATCTCAACGTTTAATGTGAAAATAATCTTATTATGTCTTATATTAATGATAAATTACTTGTACAGATAGGTCAAGTTGGGTACAAATTGGTAATAAATAGGGTATATAAATGATATGTAATTCAAAAAGAAAGGTCATTGTAAGGTGTGGCGTCTCAAGAGTGCGCGAACCTGGTATTTATTACATATGTGCGCACACTGCAGTACAGTATTATTTGTGATTAAGAATTCAAAAATATGTTTTCTTAAATTATCCATATCTTTACGATTATGTTTATTTTGGTATATTTTTTGCAATTAAAATCAATTATTTTCAAAACAAATGTTAAGTTATATATTTATTTACACATTTCACAATTTTGGTTAAATAACGTTAAAAACATTTCTTTTCTTTTTTTAATTTTATGTATTGTCAAACTTTTTTTATACATCCCAGTATTAAACAAAATTTAAAATAATATTATCAATAAATAAAAAGTAAATAAGTTAATATGCATTTAAATAAATATTTATTGTTAAGCAAATATACAAAGATAAAATAATTAAGATAGTATTATATATAAAGATTAAGTTAATTGAATTTATTTATTAAATTAAGAAAAAAAAACCTTTTTAACTTACAAAATTAATTAATTATTAAAAATCCCAGACTACCTTTTTAAATTATGTCTTTTAAACATTATAAAATTAAATAAAAATATTAAATTCCTAAAACTTTATTTTAATTAAAATATTATTTAAGTTCATTTTTTACGTAGCTCTAAATAAAACAAATAAAACATAAAAAAACACATTTGACAAGGATTTTTTTATGTACATTATTTTATTCCAATTATATATTTGTTTTGCATTTAGGTAATTATTTTAATTTGTTAAAAAATTGTATCTATACTTACGTGACTGTTCGCGGTATTTTTTAATTGGGTAGGACTTTTGTTATGCGTCAAAAAAACAAACAGTTTACATACCATTATTTTGTGGAAAATTTATTTACTTTCTTTGAATATATTCTGTTTAACCTACAAAATTAATAAATTGTCCCTAATAACTACAAAACAATGTGGAAAACTCCAATATTGACAAATAGGACCAAGATAATAATAATAATAATGTTTATTTATTCTCAGGATCGCAATGGATATAGAACAACAACAGATTTGGTGTTTAAGTTTAAAACAAGTTCTTTTAATTAAAATAAATTTAATAACAATAACATTGTCTTCTTAGGGTTATTAAATCGGTCTTAAAAGACAAGAAACCAAAATTGTTCATGAAAAAAACAATATAGTTTGATCCAGTGGCGTGCCCTTGGTTGGTTTTGAGGATTGAACCCCCCCTAAAGGCTCAGAATTTCCAAACAAACAAGTGAATAATTACCAATCTTAGATTTTTTGTTCCCCCTCCCTTTCTCCCCCCCCTCGATTATCTCCTAGTCTGTAAAAAGTTTTTTACATCCTAGTCTGTAAAAATTTCTAAAACTACACACAGTGCGCTGGGACCAATTGTATCGTAAATAATATGTATACACGGATTGACTTGCATATTAATTTATTAAACATAATAAATGTTTGACTTAAAAACTAAAAATACAAAATATTTTAACAATAAACGAATTATCTCTTGTCACCAAGTCACGTATCATAGGTAATGACAAGGAAGTTATATTTGCGTCATAAAACTTATTGTAATTCCAAAGACATCAACAATTTACAATAAAAAATACTTCTTAGTACCTAATGTTTTATACACGTAAACTAACAATAAGCCTGGAGTATATTGAAAAAATAATTTTAAATTAATTTTTTTTAATGAAAAAAGTTTATGCAAGGTGTGAGAGTGCCATTTTCAAGACAACCTGTATAATAAAAAATTCTAAACCAGAAGTGTAAAAACAATATTCGAGAATATAATACATTCTACTCTCTAGAAATGAATTAGTCAAAAATGACTAATTTAATTGTTATTAGTGGCTGCTTTTTCATTTGTACCATGGTTAACCATGGAATATCATGGTATCCCAAAATTTAACAGCCAATTCTTATGTAAAATTGTCCCCTGAATCCGAAAATACCGTCAAAAGTTAAAAAGTAGAACAGTTTTTAAGATATAGTCAATTTACCATTTAATATGGAATTGACTATATATCTCAAAAACTGCTTCACTTTCATAATTTTTGACGGTAACTAGTAACTATTAAATTAGTCATTTTTGACTTATTTATTTTTAGAGAGTAAGGTGTTTTTTTAACAAAATTGGTTAAAAAATTTATTCAATTTTATAAAGGATAATTTTAAAATTTAAAACGAATTCTAAAAAGGAAAAGTTCTACTTTAGATTTCGTAACGAGTTCTGTAGGAAATATATTTCT